AAAAAAACTTGTGAAATATATCCATTTAACAAGTTAAGTTTGAAATGTGCTATACAAGGTACTTTAAAACTTTGTGTTATCTAATTTTTGTTGCGACAAGATAAATTCAAGTCAGAACAAGGAACCAGAAATAACTTGTCATGGACTTGAGTATGTTACTGTTAAACCTCTAAACCTTGATTGATCAAACTGGAAGGTCAATTTCAGTTTAATAGTCCATGCTTGCAGTATCATTTCTGCAATATTTTTCTAGATCTTGCTAATGGTTTGGGAATGCAAATTCATTTGAATGCAGCTAAATATGGTACACGTCATGTTCTTGTTCTGGCTGACTTTTCACCAAGCACTAGGGCAACATACCTAGAGAAGCTTTTTGAGGACTTCAGAGACCGTGGAGTTGTTATTCGCTGGGTCAATGATACAACAGCCCTTGCAGTATTTCGCACACCGTCTATTGGTAAAAATTTCTAGCTTCGTTTATTGATGCTTTTGTGAAATTGTCTAGTAATGTTGTGTGAAATAGATCTCTAAAGTTAGTTTGAGTTAGGAGACTATCATTTTTTGATGTTTCCACTAGTTCAGAAAAGTGGAATCAGTATCATCATGGTTGTAGCTATTTGATGTGCATCATTCAAACTTGGGCTGGATACAAGCCTTCTCCTTCTTGATTAACTAGGTATCCTGGAACATAATTTATTTGTTAGTTGTTAAATAAGGAAAATGACCGGCAGAGGGAAGGGTGATTTTTGATAGATTTGTTTTTGTTGGAATTGCTGACAAAAGTTGTACGTTTCAAGTTACTAGCTTGAAGTATCACAAAGGGTGCCTCTATCCCACATCGGACAGGAACAGGAGGTCCTTGGCTCCTTATAAGCGGGTGTGCTGCACACCCCTATAAGCGTGTTTATGGGGGAGAGGGTAATGACCCCGTGACAAGTGGTATCAGAGTGGACTGGACCTCATCTGACTCACGTCAAGCCCCCCAACGGACCGGGGTAGGTAGGGTGGCCGACGGCAACAAGGGCGTTGCCGGAATTGGGTGGGAGAGAATGTCACAAAGGGTGCCTCTATCCCACATCGGATAGAAACGGGAGGTCTTGGGCTCCTTATAAGTGGGTGTGCTGCACACCCCTATAAACGCGTTTATGGGGGAGAGGGTAATGATCCCCTGACAAAAGTGCTTAGTGACCTAGGTTTTAATTTTCTCGGGTGGTGATTGCTTTTTGAATACCTACTCCATGGGTACTTTGTTGCTGGGTAAAGTGCTTCAGTACTGTAATGAAGAATTTATCCTCTTTTAGAGGATATTTAAAAGTGTTTGTGATGTCATCTGTATCAGGGCTTAACATCTTGTCCAGGATGCTTTCTTAAATTACCTTCAGAAGGATGTTGAATTTGTTGCTGAGGAAGTGGCTAGCTTTTAGCATGGTGAAATCAATGAAAGTTGATGTTGATGATGTATCTAAGATATGAATTGGGCGTGCCATAATTCACTGATAGTCGGCTTTCATTAATGATCTAATGATCTAATAATATTGTAAAGGTTAAGAGCCAATGAGAAGGGCCTTAGACTGATAACAGCTTGAGCTGCTTACCAAAATGTTGGAGGTTGTGGTTGTATCCGTATGATTTATGTCAGCACCTCATTTCATTTAGGAACTTAAAGTGGGTAATAAATGTACTCTTGGTATATAAATCTTGTAGAGTTGAATAAAAGGAACTTATTATTACAATTATAGATCAATCAATTTGAAGATCTGGTTGGGCTTTGGCAGTAATTAGACTTTTGCATGGGGTTCTTTGGTCAATTCTAATGGACATGGAGTGATGCCTTTATCTTTATATATTATAATCAGAGAATTTTTTTTGGGTCACATATGGGAGGTATAGTGAGGAAGATTGGATTTGAGCCTTGGACCTTAGTCCTCCTGAAGAGGGTAACAGCCACTAGGTCTAGCCTGAGTTGTTGTAATCAGAGATTTGTCAGTGCCTGATGCTGCACACTTTTCAAAGTGAAGTGGTATAGAAGCAGTTCTAATGGTGTTTCTTTTGCTAGAGCTGTGTACTCATAGTTGTTTGAATTCAACATTTAAGGTTCATCTTTCTTGAATAGCTGTCTATATCTTTCAAATTTAGTTGTGTGTCAATTACATTTTCGAGCACTTGACATTATTTAGATGAAGCCTAAGCTCTTCAGCCAATTTATTAAGTGCTTACTTGATTAACAAGGGATCCTGGAACATAATGCATTTGTTAGTTAAACAAGATAAATGATTGGTCGTGGGTGATTTTTGGTAGATACTTTTTTGTTGGAATTGCAGACAGAAGTTGTGCGTTTCAAGTTATCAGCTTGAAGTGCCTAGTGACCTAGGTTTTTCGTTTCTCAGGTGGTGATTGCTGTTAGCATAGCTACTCAATGGGTGCTTTGGTGCTGGGTGAAGTGCTTCAGTACTGCAATGAAGAATATGTCCTATTTTGGAGGAATTAAAAGAGCGTTTTGATGTCATCTGTCTCCGGGCTTAACATCTTATCCAGGATTTTTTTTAAAAAAAAATTACCTTCAAAAGGATGTTTAATTTGTTGCTGAGGAAGTGACTAGCTTTCACCTTGGTGATGTCGATGAAAGTTGATGTTGATGATGTATCGGAGATATGAATAAGGTGTGCCTTATAATTCACTGATAGTAGGTTTTATTTAACAATCTAATAATATTGTAAATGTTAGGAGCCAATGGGAAGGGTCTTGGACTGATAAAAGCTCGAGAAATTTGCCAAAATGTAGGAGGTTGTGATTGTATCCAGACTATCTATCCCAGCGCCACATTTCATTTAGGAACTGAAAGTAGATAATAGATCTACTCTTCGTCTATGAATCTAATAGAATCAAATAAAAGAAACTTATTATTACAATTATAGATTAATCAATTTGAAGATCTGGCTGGGCTTTGGTAGTAATTACACTTTAGCATATGGTTCTTTGGTCGTTTCCAATGGACATGGAGTGAAGCCTTAATCTTTATATAGTGTAATCAGAGATTTTTTTTATTTTTGGGTTACATGTGGGAGGTATTAGGGGGGAGTTGGGATTTGAACTTTGGACCTCAATCCTCCTAAAGAGGGTAACAACTGCTAGGCCTAGCTTGAGTTGTTGTCTTAAGAGATTTCTTAGTGCCTGATGGTGCACACTTTTCAAAGTGAGGTGGTATAGAAGTGGTGCTAATGGTGTTTATTTTGCTAGAGCTGTGTACTAATAGTTGTTTGAATTCAACATTTTGAGTAAGGTTCATCTTTCTTGGATAGCTGTCTATATCTTTCAGATTTAATTGTGTCAATCACCTTTTGAGCTCTTGACATTATTTAGATGAAACAAAAGCTCTTCAGCCAATTTTTTATGTGCTTCCATCTCAAGAGCCATATGGAGATTAGAGATCTAACTTTTTGTGAGCCAAATATATCATGATGGGATAGTCTTTTGGTTTTCCTTTTTTGAGGATTGGTTGGCATTGCTGTGTCCGTAAAATTTAGAGAAAAAGTTACCAGAGGTAACACTGCAATCAGTCTTGTGATGCCATTAGCTTCTTCCAAAACTTGCTTCTAATGTGATGGCTACAGTTAGCTTTCTGTCTAAGTGGCTGATTATTTTACATGGGAAAGGCTTTCTGAGACATTTTTGCTTCTTTGCTCTGTTATTGTGAAGGCTCTATTGTTCCTTTCTCTTCATTAGCCTAGTTTGCTTTTAGTTGTCCTTCCTGGTTTAGCAGTTTCTTTGGTGCTTTATTGTTATTTGGTTTTTGTTTTTTATTTTCTTACTGCTTGTTGTCAACTTCCCTGATTTAAGTTTTAGGCATACGTGTTCTGCTCTCTTTTGATAGATGAAATTCAATTATATTAAAAGAAGGACATTGTTGTTTTGTTCGGAAAGTGTCCAAATGGTCTGAATAGAGAAATGGTAGGACTTGTAATGAAAATCAACTTCAATGGCATTTATTTGTTGTTTGTATTTGGACCAATACTTTTTTTGGGTAATCTAGCATTGTCCTTAAAAAAGTTGTAAAACATGTTAATTAGTGTTGTAGCATCTTCAATCGGCTTGTTAAACTCTGCAACCAGTAATTTTTATTTTGCTAACAATCTATTTTTTGAAGGTAGCCCTTGAAGCCTGCAACCATGTTAATTGTCCATTTACTGTACGTATACTTGATGAGGATGATGTGCTTTTGGGCTCGATTTCGGCAAGAGGTAATTTAAATAGACTTATTTCGTTTGGAATTTCATCACAGTTGCATTCCAATTTGTGAAAGCTCCATGCTTATTTCTATATTCAGTGGGGCCACATGGTTCATTATATTTTTGTTTTTTTTTTAATTTCTTTAGTTTATGCGTGTTTCTTAGGTTTTCTTTATACATTCGTAGTTCATTTTGTTTTGCTGAATTTCTTTTGGATTTAGACCCTGAGCTAACCTTATTTTATCTGCCATTGGCTTGTGAAGATGCTCTGTTGTTTAAGACCAAGTCCCCCTCATCCTATCTAAAAATCTTTTCTGCTTGCATAAAGTGTTTCACCTGATTTAACTTCTAGATTGAGTTAAAGCTTTTTATGCGAAGTAGACAGTAAAATTTCTATATTATATTCCTGCTCAAAATATTGCAATTTGTAGCTCTTCAAGCAACAAATGTCATAAAAGAATAAAGAATGTTATAGCATGTTTGCGCCGATCTTTCATGATTTAGAGTTCAAGGGTTTAGCTAATGAAGGAAAGGAATATGCGGTTAGATGAAAATTTTGATGGTGCTGAAATGTGTGCTATTCATTTTCAGATTTAGAGCCTCCTCGCCAAAGACCACAGACATCAGCGAGAACTGCCCAGAGGCTGATAGCTCAAGGAATGGGATTGAAATTGTTATCCTCAACCTTTGGGTCTAGAGAATTAAGAAACCAGGAAGAAGCTAGGAGGAATCGGATAGTTACAAGACAAAAATTGAAAGATGATGCCTGGGGCGATGATTGAAGCAAACAAAGGGATTTATTTTCTTGCCTTGTTAACCATACTTTGTTAACCAAACAAAGGAAAAGAAAGGAAGGGAAAGAAGAGTTTGAATACAAACTTGTTTCTCAATTATAAACAGGTTCTGTAACACAGATAGATAGCTAACTACTCAGGTCTCCCTCAGTTCAAATTTTCTTTGATGAGTAAAGTTTGTTGTATGATTGCCTTTTATGATTGCTCATATATTTACTTTGAAAAATATTAAATCAATTGTTTGATATGATTGGAAGATAGTAACTGTTCAGAGAAGGAGTGTAACTCATCCATTGTTTGGCCGATTAGTTTGTTTCCCAGTTAGTAATTTTCGTGTCTTATTGTTTATATTTTTACTCTTTGTAGCTTGCTCTCAATTAGTTTAATAGGAAACGGTGAAGCTAAAAATTTGGCACAACTTTTTGTAGTGTCTGCTGTGCTGAGTCATTTGTGATCACTTTCAAACCAATGTGATGAAATTGTAAAATATTAGGATTTTACTCATCAAGGTCGTCCTCTATCTAACATTCGGAATTTCGAAGCCGGAACCATATGTTTCTAAGCGGGGAGCTATGGGCAGTTTTATTTCTGCTCCATGTAAAACTTACCTTGTTTTGATCTCTGAAAGTTCCACTTGAGTTGTGGCACTAACTTAATCAAGTAAACTTATAGTAAATATGATAGAGTCTCCACCCCGAGACATAGCCCTAGATATACTTTCTGGACTACCAGTCACTTACTCTTGTACAGATCAAGCCCGTTTGCAAAGCTTGGTTTGCTTTATCCCACGACCAACACCTCCCTGGCAACTATGATGCTCGTGCAGACAAGAGGAACCTAGGCTTCATCCTTCACTGTGATTGTCTAAAGCAGAACAAGTTGTATTTCCTCGACTGTGTCGATGGACCTGATCAGCATAGCAATAAGGTGAGAGGAATCGACACAAAGCTGAACTCTTTTAGTCCTGAATACCAGGTGGTTGGTTCATGTAATGGCCTGATATGCGTACCTAATGCACTTTATTTCAACCCCATGATTGTATGCAACCCGTTGATCGGAAATTTCGTAGAATTGCCCAAGCCAAACGAGTCTCTTGGACGAGAGGTAGCTCCTGGATTTGGTTACCATCCCACAACAAAGGAATGCAAAGTGGTACGGTTATTATACTTTGTCAACATCGATCATGGATCCTGGTTGATCAAATCAAATTTCCAGGTTTTTACCCTTGGCACAAAGACATGGAGAAGCTTGGGAAGTCTTCCTTTGTCACTGGATCAAAATCCATCCGAAGCCTTGCTAAATGGGGCTCTCCATTGGGTAACAACGCGGCACAAGGCAGCATGTGCTCCTGGTCCTGGTCTGAAAATAATCTCATTTGACATCGTAAAGGAGACATTTAGAGAGATCCCACTTCTTGCTGGTGGTAGTCTAGATGATTGAAACTATCACCTGGTGGTTCTAACGCAGCGCCTTTTTGGTGCTATGTGCCGTTCTGATGGAAGTGTTGAGATATGGGTCATGGGAGAATATAATGTGAAGGAGTCATGGGTCAAAGATTATGTGATCGGAGCATATCTGCCAATCACTCTGAATCAAACTGTCCGTCCACCGTATTCGAGGCCACGGAAGTAGTCAATGCAAAGCAAAGGAGCTGTTCAAGTTGCTTTAGCTTTGAAAAATGGAGAGATTTTGCTGCAGTACATGAATGGAGCTCTCGTTCTGTAGAATTCTAAAAATGAGGAGTTCAAGGATCTGGTCACCCCTAGGTTGCCAAAATGGTTTTGCACAATCATCCATGTTGGAAGTCTATTATCTTTTGAGGAAATTCAAAGAAATGAACAGCAAGTGTGCATTTGTTGGTCAGGAACCTTGCCATTCAATAAATTACTTTCTTGAAATTCCTTTGAGTAGTAAGTAATAGGCACGCCAAAAACCACGCACATCATCACACTACAACATATAGAAATAGGCACACCAAAAACCGTGATCAGAAATGATAAAATGCCATTGTTTTTATTTTTGAACCAAGGTCTGACATAATGTATGCTGCCGGCCTTTTTGTCAAAAAGAGTACCTATGATTACCATCAGCTTTATCTGATGTACCTCTTTTATGTGAGAAAGATGGAGATGGGGAGTGTGCATGGTTACCATCTAGAGAGAAGTGTCAATGGTTTGGGGAAACATCGTAAATGTTCCAAAACTTGATGGAGCAAATAGGCTTGTAGGGTTGGCAGGGTGTGGGTACCTAAGCAATGGTAAAAGTGTCGTTTTCGGGTTAGATAAATGGGTCATCGACGAACCTTTGAATGCGTGCTTCCCAAGGCTGTTTTCAGCATATTGTGTTGAAGGAGTGTAACGTTTCTGAGTGTGTATTGTGGTGAAGGATTGTAGTGTTGCTTAGTGTTTTAACCAGGAAAAGAGGTGGAGCTCAACTACCGATGAAAACTGTTTGTCTGGGAACAAGAGGCCCATCAGGAGCATCTCAACTCCCTTGGAGGGGTGGTGCTGGATAATGAGAAAGAGGATAAGCTACTATGGGAATGAGATCCCAAAGGTGCTTTCTCGGTGAAACAATGCATTAGAGTTCTAGACCTTCTTACTTGCTTAAAGTCGCATGAGGTATGGTTTGCACAAATTTGGAAGTTTATTATACACGAAAGTCCAAGGATTTTTATGGCTTGCAATACTTAAAGAGCATACGTTCTAAATGTTTTCTTATGTCCCACGGTGTGACTTTTGAAAACAATGATGTTTCATGTAAGCGGTGTGGGCTGGTAGAGGAAAGCTGTGTTCATATGCTGATCTGTTGCAACTTTTCATGGACCGCTTGGGATAATGTATTCAAATGGTTGGGGTTTAAAATGGGTATGTCTGAATGACCGTTGAATCTTTCATTAGATTTTTCATATATTTTACTTTTTTGTCATGTAAAAAAGAAAAGATGAAATGTGATTTGTGGTGCGACTTTTTGGTTAGTTTGACTTGCTCGTGATGAGACGGTATTTAACAAGAAAGCTTGGGATGAAGAGGAAATCTTGTTTTTAATCAAGACAAGGTCTCTTCTTTAGATTAAAAAAAATAAAAACCTCAATGAGATTGATGAGGTGAGATAAGGGAGTGAACCATAGACTCTTATAATATATATATATATATATATATATATATATAAAATATTAATACACCCTAAAACTCAGGTATTGATATTGCATGGATCCCCTCCCCAGAGGGAGAGTGAGCTGAAGTGTACGGCGAATCGAGAGCGGCAAGATGTGGTGTAGTTGTACGAGATGTTGTGGGTAAAGTGACTGTATATGTTCTATGGCCCGTTGGGGATTCATGATTCCAATTATGTGGAATGAAACGGCAATTAAAATGGAGCTACAATTTTTCTCATCATCACGTTTGAGTTATCAGGAAGAGTTTAGTCATAGGGTTTGATTCCAAAGTAACTCTTTCAGGGGTGAGCAATGTTTCTATGATGCATTGGAGCATCTTCAATCAAATTGATAACTATTGGAGGATTTTTGGAGATGTGGAGCTACGTCATACACTTAGGGAGACAAATGCCTTTGCATACACTTAAGAGACACAAATGCCATTGCGGATCTTCGTTAGCAAAATTTGATGTGGATGTGTAGGAGATGTTCGTCGCTCGGCGGTAGCTTAATGTTATTCCTTGCTGTTTCTATTTTTGATGAGCTTGTATATATCGGTGCTTGGTGGTAGCTTAGTTCATGTTATGCCTCACTATTCTGTTTTGATTAGCTCCTATGTGTCTTCTAGTTGCGTTTTGCTGGTTTTGGGAATCAGGTCTGGCGTTTTATGTGTCAATTGTGTGCTATCTGAAAGAACATTTGTATTTTAACTGCCTTTTTTTCTTCTTATGTTTGGTTTATTGCAATAGTCAGGAGATGTTTTACTATTTTTGGAGCTAGATGATAATGATCAGCATTCCTATGCATGACTGGAAGAAAACTTCGGCAAATGAGTTCCATTAGGTAGCTCTCAGCAACCATTTCTGGTGCTTCAGAAAAGCCTCCTGGCATCCAATGTCTTAACAACTCTTTTTTGATCAATCTCATGATCTTCCGGAAAAGTACAATGATACAAGAAGAAATGCTTGAGTTGGAAAGACAAATCATGGTAACCAAGCGGTAAGATGATTTTCATTAATTCAAGTTCACGGTTATTGCCTAGCTCCCAATTCAAGTTCTCTTCCATTCTGCTATTGATTTCTTAAAAGACATCAAACTGCCTAAAACCACAATAGCCTTGGGCAGGCCTTTACATCCTTCAACTAGATTCCTTGCCAATGAATCAAGATATGATGGACATCCACCAAGATTGCTTGAAAAAGCTTGCTTACCAAAAAGTTCCCAAGCCTCATCCTCTCCCAAGAACTGAATTCGGAGGATATATATAGCTTACAAATCCACATGGTGAAGGAGCTACGTCTTCTTTTCGAGTTGTAACCATGACGCTACTTCTATGCAAACCTTCCGGACGGGCGATGTTGATCTCCTGCCAGAGTTCTGTTCCACGCAAACCTTCGTTGGAACTTCTTCTTTTCTCTGTTTATAGACTCGTTTTACCATGGAACTAAACAACTCTTCGATTGCGTATTGTTGGGAGACAATGACCCAAGTACAGAAATCAAAATGTTGTTTAACACTTTGTTTGTTGAAGGCGTTGGCAGCAGGGGTAGTTTTTCGTTAGCCACCCATCCCTACCACTGAAATGACAGTTCGTCAAGGCCCTTCATCCCTTAGCCATCACAACAACCCTACAAGATCATCATCCTTAAAGAAAAGCACTGACTAGCACTATCGGTCCTTCCATTCAGGATCATAGCGGGAACCCCTTTCTTCTAGTTGTTGAACTCCAAACTGATTGGTTCTCTTTGTAATCCTTCCATCCTTTAGAAGCTTGGGCAATTGTTACCCCTCCACTGTTGTTGCTTGTTCACGTGAAAGGTGAATTCATCGATGGTGTCTTCTTCTTCATCTGCAATGCTCCGCACACGGTTTGTCACCCAATCTTTGTGCATTTCACTATTTGCCTCTGGGTCATCTACATCCACGAGAAAAGATCCCATGCTTTTTACTAGAAGCTTCTTTTATTTGATTTCATCAGGAACTTTCATTCTCTAGGACTAAAATGAGCATGCCCACGATAAGATCCACACTGCTCAAATCCATTTTTGAATGAGTTTAGTGATTTAGAGAAAATTCATTTAGGAATGCAACAAGTAGTAAAATATTGAGGAAGCAGTTTCTGTCACAAGATAATTAACCAAATTATGCACACTCTCATTATTTACGTGCAACGATGTGCTCACATTCACTTCCCCATCAGTAAACAGTTAATATTCATTTCACACTAACCAAAAATATCTCAATTGTGTTGAAGTGGTTACAAACAAATGTTAATTTGATAACTAAACTATCTTAGCTTAAAATGCTATCAGGTACATATTGTACAAAAAACTTTCTTTTACTGTCAAATAGGTCTCACCAAAGTTCAAGTTAATAGCACATATGTAGCTATAATATCATATTCCCCGCCATCAGTGTATTCATAGCCCTCTGCGAGTCAATTACATATAGAATCACCAAAATTATACCGCTAAACAATGTCATCAGGATGTCTTTCTGGACAGGTTCTTCATCCCAGAACCCCAACATTTAAGGATTACCGTCCCTGTAGACGGATCTGGCTTAATCACAAATTGAACGTCAAGAAGATCTTTGATGTGTTGCAGTGTTTCTATTCCATAGGGTGAGAGCTTTCCCACACGAACCTTTGAAACATCTTTTGGACATAATGCACAAAGAAGAAATAACAAACCCTACAGACCAAACAATGAGCTACAGCTGTTAAATAGCAGAACGCAAGCAGGGAAAGAAAATGAGGCATAATTAACAGTCAACAGGATGCAGATTACCTGTTATCAAGCTATTTACTAATGTGTCCCAATACAATGCATTACAAGAAAGTAGCTCAAGAACTTTCATCCTTAGTCAGAAGATAAGAGAATTATTCCCATATTATAAACAAAGTTTTGATAAGTTGAAGTGTACGCTTCAGATGGACTTTTGATAAGTTGCCTCATTGTACAGCTTAGATGTCAAACCCCATGTAAAAAAGATTATTCTTTTTGTATAACAAGTCTAACACCTTCAAATATTTTAAAAATATGGAACGACTAACAATTGACATTATTAAGGCTTAAAGATTCAAGCATGAATTTACAATTTTCATTTTCTTGGCCACTTAAAATATTTCCATTTTCTGAAAGGAGAAAACACAAAAAGAAACAAAAGAAAAAAGAACACAAGGAACAATAAAAACAGAAAGGCTAGAACTCAACCTATAGGATTCAATATGAGTACATGGCCGTGTCATTATAAAGATTCAAATAGGTGTCTGTTTCCATGTTGGCCACTTAAAAGTTTTTCCTATTCTAGTGGATAAAAAAGTAAAAGGAAAACCAAAGAAGTTATATGTAAAATAAACAACCTAAAGGGCTAGATGTTCATCAAAAACAGCAAACTAGAAGAGGGTAAAACTTTCAAATGCAAAGGCATAAAGACAAAGGTACTTCATGATATTAATGCAAATAATGATCATCTTTGTTTTTTCTGGACTAAAGAATAAACGAAGACTCCTTTTGTACCCCAAAGAAAATTAAGAGTTTCAATAGGCACATTTTCGAAACAACCAAATTCACATTTTATACCAAAATTATCCTGCATCACAGCTTATGTGTTACAATATTATAAGCAATATAAGGAGTTAATTTAAAATCTAAACCATTTAATTCAATTTCAGTAAATGATTAAATGTGGACAAAGAGTTATCAAAACAATAAAATGGAAATACAATAATGAGAATGGACAAGTGGCAGGTCAATGGAATAAAGTACTTTGAAATACAAACCTGGTGAGTTGAATCCACCACTCCTCCTTTCTCAATCTCTTCAAGAAGAATGGAAGCAATTTGCTCACCAACATTAGCTGCAGGCATCATCTCGTTATTCTCACCTTCAATATCATCTGCTTCTTCCGCCCGTGGATAAGAAATTGTAGTATCAGCAGAGATGCAGCAACCAGAGGTAGTCTCAGCAACTAGTGAAATTCCATATCCAGGTGAGCTGCACTAAGAATAAAAATTTAAAAATTTCCTAATTATGTGCAAAAAGAAATTTTCAAAAAATATGTATCCATACTTTCCAGCTTCTGTGCGTTTTCTATAATCACTGGCGATATAAACATCTGGAAGCAAACGATTAAAAATTCCGCGAGCAGCATAAATCATCTCATTTCCAAGCTGAACGCTCACTCTGGCGGTGAAAGCTTCCCCTCTAATTCTCTTAACCATTCCTTCATCAGTCCACACAGTCGCCTGTAGCAGAGAGTATAAGCATCACAAAAAAAAAGGTTGAAGTAATACTAGATGGAAAAACTCACTGTTAGCTGCTGAACAGTCGGAACCGCCAAATGAACCTCACCACCACCATGAGGTGAAACTCCACGACTCTTTATTTCCAACTTCAATCCTTCTGAAGGGACCCCAAAACGCTTTAACATAGGTAAGGTGGTGGAACGGAAAGTATCAACAGATGGGTCCTTAGAATCATTTGTAATCCCTGAAAATAACAAAATATGGTATGGCAATCTCTTAACATTTGTATTACAACAAGAAAATCATATGCATTGTGACATAACTGATGAAAAGCAATGCCAAGTTTGAAGAAGTTAATTCAATACAAATTCACATGTATTACATCATTGAATCAGATAAGGGTTCTTTATTTTCTGAGAAGAGGATCTAGAGAAGTCTCTAGTCATTAAAAGTAGTCAACTTCTATTCTGTCAATTTGACCTATGACAGTCATTTCACACTTCAACATCAAAAAATTATAGCGACACGCATAGATATATAAAAATCCTCCAATGCAACAGTTTTCACATATTGCCATTAACTCAACTTCCTAATTGTAAATCACTATAAATTGAACAAATGCAGCTAAAAATGTGACTCTGTAGCAAGGCGTGTATAATACAAAATTATGTCTTATCTGAAAAACAAAGACAACCACCAAGGAAAGAAAAAGCAAAATTTATAAATTCCAACCAGAAAACGAGTTACCTTTGAGGATAATAAAAAGGGGTTTCCTAGCAAACAACCCAAGCAAGATCAAAGGCTCCAAAAAATACCCAATTGCTCTACTAACACCGCAATCATGCACCAGATTACTCCCTCCCACTATAATCCCAGGCTTGTACTTCAATTTGGTACCTGTCAGAGAGCATCAATAACCTTAAAACAACCCTTTTTCATATTCGTTTTCAAAGCTAAGAACCCAGAAAAAATAAAGGTGTTACCAGTTTCGTTGATTTCAATGAGACAGTCATCCGTGACCTTTTCAAAAAGACGGATGAGGGAAATCTCGTGTGGTCGGAGACCCGGTAAGGTGTCGTCGGCGTGGATGTCTTCTATGAGAATTGGAGTTGACTTTAGTGTTGCTAAGAGCAGCCTTTGCCTCATATTTTGGCTTCCTTTCAGTCTCTTGTACGTTATTTTTCCCATCTTTCCCTCTTCTTTGCTCTGTTGAGAGAAAGAGGGGGAGAGGGTTTTAGCTTTTTTTTTTTGGCTGAACGAAAAGAGTTGAAGGGTTTTTGGTTTTTGGGATTTAAACCTAAAACCGTGTTCGGGTCAAAAAAATGGGTTAAGTTCTGGGCTACAATATGGGCCAAGAAAGTTGACAAGCGCAGCTTTGGACTTGTACTTAACAAAGGGATAACCACGTCAACCCGGTTTAGCAGCCAAGATAATTACGTTTTTGTATTATTTTATTTTATAATGTCATTTTCTTGGGCGCTAAATGGGGTTAATGTGAAACAATTTCTTTTAAAACTATAATGGAAGTAGGATAAAATAAAAGGAATATTTATTTTGACCTTGTCAACATGCAAAGTCTCTTTTCCTCCAGCTTCTCGTAAGTTGTCACTTATTATCACTCTCTTCCTATGTTTCCCTGTCTGTCCTTTTAGAAGCCTTTTAATGGTTGCTGCTGTTTATTCATTTTCTTCTTCAGACAGGTATCTAACTGAATCTCATCACCTTTAATTGACCTTTTTTTTTACTGTTTTACTTTCATATATGTTGTTTGCAGGGCCTCTTCTTTTTCCTTATGGTATGAGTTGCTTGATGTTTACCCAATAATGGTAAAAAGCAGTAGTATGATTTTCAAAGTTAATAGATGATCGGTTAGAAAAATAATGACATACCCTTCAAACATCAAAGCATTTAATTAATCCTATTCAGCATATGATATTATTAACATGTTATTATTTGATATCATCAAAGTGCTTATTATTGGTATAAACATACGCCGCAGTCCTACTATATGACAGATACAAATAATTTCCGTATTGTATATTTTGTATCTAATCACCCACTCTACCCTCTACTATGTTTATGTTGTGTTTCACTTTTAGTTTTCCCGGGATTGAGCTTAGACTTCTTGATGTTGCTGGACAGGCGAAACGATCGATAGAAACAAAACCAAGCCATAGTCAAACCTTATCTTCTAGTTGTTATCCTCAGTTTTCTTGGTGACTTGAAAACAGATTGCAGCGCCATAATTTGTATAACATTTTTTCTTTTGTCAATTCATGTAATCAAAGTCAAACAATCTGCCTGCAGTTTCCATTGACTTGGTACATAGCAGATGGCAGCAAACACAGAGAGGTTGAAGAGCCTTGCAAGGAGAGATGGGTTGTCGGAAATGGAGGCTCAAGTTCAAAAGTGGTGGGAAGGAGCAGACATTTTCAGGGATGATGCTCGAGAAACACCCCCAGAATCAGGTGAAAATTTCTTTGGCAATTTCCCATTCCCTTACACGAATGATCATCTACACCTGGGTCATGGATTCTCGATTTCCAAGTTAGAATTTGCTTCAGCCTATCATAGACTAAGAGATGCAAATGTACTTCTACCATTTGCTTTTCATTGCTCTGTTATGCCCATTAAAGCCTCAGCTGACAAACTTGCTCGAGAAATCGAAAGATATGGCAATCCTCCAAAATTTCCTAGTACCATAAATGAGCAAATTCAGGGTCTGAAACCTGAAACAGAGGAAAAAGAAAAAGAAAGCCAAACAATACTAAATAAATTCAAGATCAAGGGTAAAAGGTCCAAGGTAGCTTCAAAGGCAGGTAACGAAATCTTCGGCCTCTCCGACGCCGAGATTTCCAAGTTCCTAGATCCATCTCATTGGCTCAAGTATTTTCCCCCCTTGGCAATAAAACATTTGAAGGCTTTTGGCTTAGGTTGTGACTGGAGCTGTTCGTTTATCACCACAGAAATGAACCCATATTACGATTCATTTGTCAAGTGGTAAATGAGAAAGTTGTAACAAATGGGGAAAATTTTAAGGGATTTTCGATATGCCATCTACTCTCCCGTGGATGGACAACCATGTGCAGATCTTGACCGGGCTTCAGGTGAAGGGGTCTGCCCTTTGGATTATACCTTGACAAAAATGGAGGTGATCCCTCCGTTTCCCGCAAAGTTGAAACACCTGGAAGGCAGAAAAATGTTCCTTGCAGCTGCAACATTAAGACCTGAGACAATGTTTGGGCAAACAAATGCATGGGTGTTGCCTGATGGGGTCTATGGGGCATTTGAAATCAATGAGACTGATGTGCTCATTTTGTCAGAAAGAGCAGCTCATAGTCTTTCTTATCAGAAATTTTCACGCATCCCTCAGAAAACTTCTTGTTTGGCCAAGCTAACTGGTCATGATCTCATTGGTTTGCTGCTGAAGTCTCCTTTATCATTCAATAAAGTTCTATATGTTCTCCCCATGCTAACATATAATTATGCAATTAAGTATGTTTTAAATAACAATATATATATTCCTTGACCAATCCAATTGACTCAAAGACATATATCAACAAATTTTATGTTTGAAACAGCTAATGCAGCAATCCTGAGACTCACAAAAGAATTGTCATGGATGCAAGAGGTTCTTGCTTCTAAGTCATCTTTCAAAAAAGGTTCCCTTTCAACCTATACCGATCGTGTGTTTGTCTGAGATAAATTTGGCAGTAAAACTAACTGAGAAAAATTATAATAACTTGTTGTTTCAAGAAGCTCTCAAGACTGAATTTTATGATCTGCAAGCAGCTAGGGATGAGTACAGTTTTTCTTGTGGCTCATCAGAATGTATGAATTTCGATTTCCTATTGCAGTTCATGGATGTTCAAACTCGTCTAGTAACTCCAATATGCCCACATTACGCTGAGTATGTCTGGGGGGTGATTCTAATGAAGGACGGATATGTTGTAAAAGCGGGATGGCCTAATCTTACTCTCAAAGTTGCCAATAAATATTTGCAGGACACTATCGCCTCAATGAGGAAGCTTCTCCTGAAGCAAATTTCAGGACCAAAAAAGTCTAAAGAAATATCCCCCAAGTATAGAACACAAAAGGAGTGTTGGCCTGATTTATGTAAATGCCCAATATGATGGATGGAAAGCAGAATGCTTAAAATACTTAGAACCAAGTCCAACCATGAGACTTCCAGTTTTTCACCTGATGAAGAAATTTTGGACGCATTACAAGAGAGTCCTGTAGAAGGAGTACATTGGAAGCAAACTCGTGTCTCTTTACATGCCTTTCTGGAAGTTCAAGAAGGACGAGGCAATTGCTCTTGGAGTTCATGCCTTGGATCTGCGGCTGCCATTTAGTGAGATTGAGGTTCTACAGGAAAATTTAGAGCTGATCAAGCGGCAACTTGGATCTTGAGCAAGTTGAAGTTTTGTCTATGAGTAAAGCAGACCATCTAAACTTACTCCTAAACCAGAACCTGCCAAATTCAGGAAACCCAACTGCCATCTTCTTCAGCGCATAAAATAAAGAGTTCCAAGAAACATCCACAGAAATTTATGTTTTTTGTTTGTCTTGTTACATTTGGGATTTTATGTCATTTAAGTCAATAATTGAAGTTGAATTTCTGTACCATGAGACTTTGTATCATACCAATGAGTCATGAAATGCATTAATTAAGACACCCAAACGTTTGGAAAAAATTTGATAATGAAAACGTAAGAAGCTTCTAATGTTTCATTATAGTATGTCCTCCGAAGTCGAAGTTCTGAAAAGACCTTGTCTCTTCAAAACCCTTTCTTTTGTTTTTTTTTTGCACAACATGTGAGGCAATATGAGTAATAATTATAAACAAATTTTTGAAAAAAAATTCTTATTTTATAGCTTTAAGCAACAATCATAGAGAAGAGTATTTATATACGGAAGAAACAATATAAAAGTTTTCCTACAATTCCAAATAAGAATACTAATTTATATATGTGAGAGCAAATTAGAGAAAGAGAATTTAAATTTATTTTTTGAAAATAAATAAATCAGATACTAATCAATGAATGAAATATTCAAATGTAATTAACACCTTTAATAAACAATAATATTCAATAGCACAAAATTGAGATATACTTTGACCCGCAATCTTAGTCTTGAGTATATTTTGGATGAATATTTGAATGCATTGCATTTAATTTAGAAGCATAAAGGAAAGTTAGGGTGTAATTGTAACACGATACAAGCACCGTCCTCAATTTGACTGGGTAGCGAAGTCAAGGTACACCTAATGATTTTTTAACAATTTATTGAGAGAAATTATGACTACAAAATGTTATTAAAAACTATGTTTTGAGAGTCAAAGGTAATATGTCAAATAAACTTTTACAGTATTAGATTTTAATTAATTACTAGCATTCCTAAATAACACCTATAATTATATAATGTAAAGCTTTACCTAAGAAAATGAAAATATTATTAAAATTTTTTTTATTGTTTTTATTATTTATAATTTTGTTATACACATATATGATTGCTTATGATTGCTTGTATGAAATGGTTAATGTATAATCTCTTATTTAACGAATAAGATTCATATTCCCTTTCCTCTAATTAAAAAAAATTATTTTCTAGATTGTTAAAAGACCTTGTTCCATTCAAAAGATTTTCCACGGAAATCGAATAAAATCAGAAATTACAACATAATTGTGTAGCTTTTGAATTAATAATTAACTGGCATGCCGCTTCTATACCATAATTTCCAAATGTGTAAACATTCATACTTTTCCTTTGTTACTAAGTATAATTAGAAAGATGTCAAGCATGGCACACACAAAAGAAAGATAATAATGGCTAAAACAGGAGATTAATCTTGTCATGCCACATCTAGAAGCCGTAATTACTGGACTAATTTCAGACTGCTAAAATAGGGTGAGGGTTTTGCAAAGGAGGCCCTTAAAGTATCTTTCAAAGTCATTATGTTAAATAAATTTATAACATTAATTAAAGTCAAATTAACATTTCATTTTCATAATCCATCATTAAATATATCATCTTTATAAAGAATCTAACAACCCTTTTTTTTTTAATGGAAAACCTTTTCTTGAAATAATACTTCATTTGAATATAGTAGTTAATTAAGATAACCAAATATTGAAACCAAACCTAGATTCATACTTCACCGCTTGCTATTGCTTAATATAAGCTAAAGCTCAAGGTTTCCAAAATTTAATTGCGGAATAATATAGGCTTTCCTATATATAAATATAATATATTAAAACATGATTGATATATTTTAAAATATTTACTGACTTAGTTGAGACGAATTGAAATATAGAAAAAAAAAAGTAAAATTCTAGAGACCCTATAAAATTTACACTGGCTTTAAACTAACATTTTGGAAAAACAAAAAGATTTTGTCCAAAATTTATGTTTGAAAAAATTAAGTCATGACCTAACTTAGAATTATATTGTCTCATATAAAATTTCGGAGCATGATCTGGCATGCAGATCCTTGGAATAATATAATCTTATATATAATGTTGAATTTGGTTCAACCTAATTAAATAAATAGGACCATATATTTTGCAGGCCATGTAGACGAAATCAAGCCTGCACTTGACAATTCCTGGAAATGGAAAAAAAGAATAAAAAGAGACTTAAATTTGTTCATCAGAAACTTTCTGATCCAAAGAATTAATATGTCATTAATAGTAGGAAGAAATTGAAAGGTTAAGGATCAAACTGATTATTTATTAAATAGTTAGGGTCATACAATGCAATTTACTCGAGAAACTGAGATGGTGGAAGAAGTCATGTCAACAATTGGGAATCCTCTTTGCAATTCTTTTGACTTCATGAAAATAATAAATCAAAATGGGTAAGCAATGAGGAAAAAAGATTCTAAATATGTTGGTTGCTTTTAAATCATGACACATAAGCATGTTTTTGAAAATAATCAACTATTGATTACATATTGTACGTGATCATTAAACTGTGAGTATTTATTCAACATATTTATAAATGATTTTTTGTAATAAATAATTAACCTTTATTAAAAAACAATATACTTAAGTGATATAGCTTGAATGAAAATAATACATGCCAACATGAAATAACAATTTCTTAGAAACTTTTTGATAAATGAGAGGGAAAGAAAGGCCAACCTAAACTTACTTAGGTGGCACTGTACATGTTTGGGCAAACAGAATAATGGGTCAACCAAACATTGGAAAGGCATACAAGCTTGAATTCCACACATGCAGTGCACTGCCTGTATGATTAGGGGTTTGGTATATCTTTTTCTCAAGCTCCCCGTTGCCAAGTTGTGCCGCCCACAATATTTGCCCAGATTTTTTTACCTTTGTTTGAATTGAATATTCCCACTGTTATTCCAAACAGAATCCACCAGTCACCAGTGATGGCACCTACGTATTTTGGGATGCCTTTTGGCCTACCTTTGCCCTTTCCTTGGTTTGAAGCACACAGCCTGAGCCTGACCACTAAATAATGCGCCAAGTGGTGGTCAATAAGCGGTTGGGAGAAGAAATTTGTTACCAATGTGATTTGTATTGTTTCTCGTGTGTTGACCATTGAAAGCCGTAGGTGAGAAACTATGACCGGTAAAAGATGAAATTAAGTAGAAGAAGAAGAATGAGAAAGAATGGACAAGGACGTATTATTCAAACACATTTAAATATACTTAGAATTCTCCTTTGCTTGCCAATTATTTGTGTGCCTGTTATAGTCTTTGAAGCCATTATGTATTAGCCGCTTTCGCTTACCGTTTTTGCCTTAACAAAGTTGTCTATATTGTCTCTCTACTTCTTTAGCAAACTCAGCAATTTTCAACATCCATCATCTTAGAAGAGTTGATCAGCTCTCCATGGATGAAATTGATATACCTCAATATTTTCTCTGTCCCATATCGCTACAAATCATGAAAGACCCTGTTACAGCTGTTACGGGAATCACATACGACAGGGAAAGCATAGAGCAATGGTTGAAGACAGCCACGGACACGACCTGCCCCGTAACGAAGCAGCCTTTGCCATCAGATTCTGATTTAACGCCAAATCACACGCTGCGGCGGCTAATTCAGGCATGGTGCACAGAAAATGCGAGTAATGGTATTGATAGAATCCCTACACCAAAATCTCCTCTCAGCAAGAGTCGTGTTATCAAACTCATGCGTGAATTTGAGCATCCTAGTTTCTATGCAAATGCTTTGAAGAAAATGGAAGTCTTAGGGAAAGAGAATGAAAGGAACAGGAAATGCATGGAGGAAGCAGGGGTTGCAAAGGCTGTGATTTTGTTGTTGATAAGATGTTACAAGGAAAGGAGAATTACTGGTCTTGAAGAAGCTTTGAAACTTGTTTATCTTATTTGGACTCCCTCTAGTGAAGTCAAAGCTCTCGTGAATGAAAACCACGATTTGATTGACTGTTTAACATGGATTCTCGGGTGTGAGATGGAGAATCCTGTTGTTGTCAAGACTCATGCAATGCTAGTCTTGAGAAAGGTGATTGAGGTCGCAAATACCAGGCTGGTGGAGAAATTGAAGCTCGAATTCTTCAGAGAAATTTTGAGGGTATTGAAATTGAAAATCTCTCAACAAGCTACCAAATCCGCCTTGCTAATTATGATAGAAGTATGCCTTTGGGGAAGAAACAAATCCAAAATCGTTGAAGCCAATGCAATTTTCGAGCTCATTGAATTTGAACTGGAAAAACCTGAAAAGAACATCACGGAACTGAACATCAATCTTTTGGCACATCTATGTTCATGCGCAGATGGGCGAGCTCAGTTTCTACGCCATGCCGGGAGCATAGCTATGGTGGCTAAGAGGATCCTAAGGGTTTCTCCAGCGACAGATGATCAAGCTGTTCATATACTTTCATTAATCTCAAAATATTCCGCAACCAAGCAAGTCCTTTTAGAGATGTTGAGGGTCGGGGCTGTGACAAAGCTTTGCATGGTAATTCAAGCAGATTGTGCAGCATATTTGAAAGAGAAAGCCAGAGGGGTACTTAGATTGCACTCCAATTTATGGAATAATTCTCCTTGTATTGCCGTCTATCTGTTAACCAGGTACCAAAGGTAACCTGAGTGACAAAAAGTATGAATTATTGCAGCTTTAGTTAAAGATCATAATAGATTATAGCTATCATCCTTAAGGACACAGATCAAAATCATGAGAATCAATTATAGTAATTGTCATAGTTAATGATAAGAATTTTTTTTTTTTTTGAAGTGTATGGTGATTATATATTGATCAGACAGGGTTTACACTTTACATGAGCTATGCCGGTCGAGTCTGAAGCCTTTGAAGTAGGCAGCAAGATTGGATGCAGCATATAGCTCATCCTTTATCAGGAATACAAGAATCCGATGATCAAACCCATTGAGCATGTGTTCACTCTTTTCCCAGAAGCACCCCCGCTCCCCTATTTTCCCAAGAGCTCAATCAGGTTGGCCGTCCCCCGCTTGATGAGACCCCTTTCCATATTTTTCCATTGTAGAGGCGCCTGTTTCTTACTACAAATCTCCCTGGAGACCCCTTCCTTAAGCGGGTGGACTTGTATTGGACACCACCTCGCATACAAACGCACTGTGAAAAACGGAACACTGACGCTGCCTATCTCAATTGGACCTTTGCTGCATTTGATAAGGAATATTTTGAAATTCTGTATAATTTATCAATTATAACAGCTAATTATCAAAATTGGTTTGTAAGATCTTTAGCTGTTCATTTAAAGAGACTTGCCTATAAATTTGCTATTCGTCTAGTTGTCGTTTTTTCTCCTGTCTTTTCCTTGCATGTAAGGAGCATTTGCTTCAATAAAACTTATTAATAATAGTCGAAAATGTAGGTTTTTTCTTTTACTTTGAACATAAAATCTTTATAAAACTAAAACCTCAATCTCTAAATTAACATTGGGTATCATCTTAGCGAATTCAATTCGTTTTTTTATTTTCTTTTTTCAATATAGAGATGATGATTTATTGGTAGCAAGTGCCGACCATATGAAAATTTGACAGTCGAAAAAAACCCACGGGGAATATATAATAGGACATCTCAGTATATCAATGCCAGAGAAGGGTCCGCAATCAACGGTTATTGGATTGGCAGCTGCAAAACACCAAATGAGAGTACCTTTATCGAGGAAAACAAATAAAACGTGCTGTATATCAACTCCAATGCATGCAAAGATAGTGAACGTGGCTGTCAAACAACACCGAATGCATCTCCTTCTCCGATGGAATCAAATGTGAAAGTGTTTTTGAAAAATATCATTTTCCAAAAGTTACAACTAATAGCATAGCTGTCGCTTCCGTACTTTGGATCATTAACCATGTAGGTGTGGAAACGTTTGCGGGATTCTGAATAGGGATAGCAGTGTCAGTGGCCAGTGGGCAGGTATTTCCCATGCCACGGTTCTCATTTTCATTTTTCTTCCTCAGAAAGTAAGCCCATTTTTAACGTTCAAGATTAATTAGTATGCCAAACAATAGAGATAGATGCATCATAAGGTTACTATGACAAGCATTGAAGCAAAATTAATGAGTGGACCAGCTATAGCTAATCACTATACATATGGTTATGGATTGAGATTTCTTCCCTTCATTTTTATCCATTACTACATCCTTCTAATCGGTTAAGACTTAATTCCTAAACCCAAGTTAACCTTTACCATATTACTTTGAGTTTGAGTGGTTGTTAATGTAATTATAACAATTGTAAAAATTATAAACTAAATCGGTCAAATTAAAAGTACATAAGATTACGATATTGTTAGATTATTATTAATTTAATTTTTTTTATCTAAATGATTGAATATCTCTTTTATATATGTATCTTATTCTCTTTTTATAAACGGATCATGTAAAATATATGATATTTTTTGTCATAACAAAAATCATGTTCATGCTCGGACACCTCTAGGAAATCTGAATGCAAGAAAAACACTCAAACAAACGATAACTTAACTAGTTATGTTTATATCCTGTTTGAAGATGATTGGCTGTTCTTTATTTGACCGTCAATCAAGTCCAATTTTGTGCTTCACATGTATATTTTAAACAGTTGTGGATGAGTTGTGTAGATAAAGAATCGGCAACCTGTCCAAAACGTTGGGTCGCAATTATCCGATTCAAGTCAAACTAAAGCATTGACCACTATCTTAATCACTTTTCTCATTACTCCATTAAATTAAAGTAATTTTATGAAACCAAAGATATTAAAGAAGTCATTTTTAGAATATAATATATATAAATATATTTTAAGTGCCAAATTAAGCATATGTTAGGAGTTAGGACAGGTTGGTAGTTATGAATAGATCAAATTTAGATTATGTCATATTCAAGTCGGGAACATTTTTTAATTAACTATGACCTTTTTTTTATATATAATCAAATAAGATTTTAGATCCATCAAATTCAAGTATAATAGATTAAGATAGTTGATTGAGTAAATTAGGAATTCATAAAGTTAGAATTTGAGTTTTCTAATTTCATAAATGATAAAAAATTAAGAGATCTTTGAGATAACGGAGCACTATTAAAAAAAGATGTACAAATTAGGCACATCAAATAGGATTTTGAAGTGATTCATTTTGGATTATTTCATTTCGGATAAAAAATTATTTAAATCATTTTTAGATTCAAATTATTTTGAATTTTGATCATTTCAAATTCAAATTATTTTCATTTGGAATATTTTAACTTTAAATCATTTAGATTGAGATCATGCTTTGAGTTTAATTCGTCGATAATTTCCAAATAAAATCAATTCAAACTCAAGTCATTTTGAGTTAATCGTTCAAGTTTGAATCATGATTCAATTCAAACATATACTAATTATTGACTTTCTTAATCAATCAGTCTTATGGATTATAGTTATAAGTAAGTGTTATCTGCTGCATGTGTATGTATACTGTGTTTCGTTTTAGCCATTGCGCAGCTCTTATGAAAGTCGAGATTGATCTCCTTTATTCCCTTCTTTAGTATTATCATTATTAGGATTTAGGATTTTACGTTAGTAAAAGATTATTGATTAATTGGGATTAATTTTTCATGAATTAAATTTAAATAAAAATACATTTATTATTTAATAAAATAACTGTATCATCCAGTAACCAAATATTTGATCAATGCAAATTTGGTAAGGAATCAATTTAAACAAAGTATGCGATTTGGGGTGAGGAATTTTATTTCACCATTGAAGGGCTGAAAGTAAATGGTATAGGCTCGAAATATTTGACTAATAGATACTGGGGCCTCGCCACTAGTCTAGCTTTAAGCATGCAATTGGGCTGGCTCCCCACTGAACCTTCGTTGTTTTTATCATTTACAAACCCAAACCCAAAACACCAAAATTAGTTCAATTTTACTTCCACCATCCAACACTAATAGATTGCCACATGTCTACCCCAAACTCCATTGCTCCTTACTTTGATCCAATCAGTCCATTGATATAAAAGTCAACAATATAACTTCTACAAAATAAAGAGTCAACAATAAAATATAATATAACACAGACTAGATTTGGCACAAACAAACTTGATGGTCTTATGCTATCAAAACTAATTCAAATCCCAAAAGCTCTTACTTCATGGGGATTTAATCAAAACCCAAATTCAGGAGTTGAAAAATCAATGCCTTGAGTTGTATCAATTTAAAACATCAAAAAGTGAGAGGATGGATGCATTCCACCCTGTATGGAATTGCCATCTTTTAGTCAACTGATAACTTTCCTTCCTAACAAACAGGGTAGAGTTAGCTAATTTTTATTGAGGGGTCAAAGGTTAAAAAAAATAAAAATTAAAAAATTTTAAAACTAATATATTAAACTTAATCATTAATAATCAAAAAATTTATAATAGACAATAATTTTATATAACATGTAAATAAAAAATAAAAAAAAACTTATAATAGTGCTCTAGAAAAATTTTATTCGACAATGGCAATATCCTTTTTAATATAAATAACTAAATTATTTGTAAAAAACTTATCATCCATTTTGTTTCGAAGTTTTACCTTTCTCAATATAAACGATTAAAAAATTAATATAATCAACATCTAATATTTTTATTTTATTATATTTAAGTTTATAATACTAAATATTAAACTATAATGCATAAAATAGAAATAGTTAAATACGATATACATAATTAATAATTGCTTCTTATACTTAAGATAATTTCTTTTCAACTAAATATAAAACGTAAAGCATATTAAAAACACATACTCAAAATAATTTTTCATATATAATTAATTAGGATTATTAAAAACAATATATTAGTAAAAGTTTAAACAATAACCAATAATGCAACACTAGAACTTATATTTGAGAATTACATATACAATAATTTTTTAATTTTAAAAAATTAAAATTATTAAAAATAAAATTCACATAACAGAAAATAAAAAATCATGACAAGCAAGAGATATAACCTATATAACAAAAAAAAATATAGTTGATGATTCGTAGAAATTTAAAAGAGAAAATCTATAGAAACTTAAAATATATGAGCAAATAGAATAGAATTGAAAAAAAAATAAATATAAATAATAATAATAAATAAAATAAATAAAATAAATAAAATAAAATAAAAACTTTGCCTCTCTATAATTTCACAATATAAAGACAGAAAAGAAAAGAGAGAAATATAGAAGGAGAAATTTAAAAAAATTTAAAAAATTTAAGAATTTGAGTAAAATTGAATGAGGTTTGTAAGATTATTTT